TGAAACGTTTTCTGCATGTTACAGGAACTCATGGGTGGACTGTAAAACCGAGGTCCATTTCCGCTGAGCAGCCCAGTGATGGCCAAAAAGTGGTGAAGAAAATGGTCCCAGGTTCCAGGGTGCCATTCCCCGTGATGAACAAAGTTTCGCATTGTAGGTTGGAGCATCAAATTCGTCCAAATAGCGCCAATGTTTATATTAGGAAGTCATACATTACCAGGACCACCAGTAACTCTTACAATTAGATATGACTGGAATCCACTCAAAACCACCCAGACAAGCAAATTTTGCCGATTCTTCTTTCTCAGAAGCCTTTCAGCAAGAACAAACCTCAATTTTGCAGCCCACGTGAAGATCCCCTACAACATACAAAAAAGCGCTTTGAGAAAGCGCTCCACATCCCGTAAGACCTCGCTTGTGAGTGTTATATGATCTCTGAATTAAGCAACAGTCAATCAAAAAATCTCGTAGATGTATGAAGCCAACTGAAATAGGTCCTCCACAATGATACGAACGAAAAAATGGTGGCGATGGGACCATGAAAATCGTGGCTAGTACTTACATCCTTGACCATCACTTTGTATAGGGGTTGCAATTTCGTGAAAGGACGCACCGATCGCTATGAGGGTGTAGGAATTTCAGGAAACCTTTTCGGCAAATTCCATCGATTCGCTCTGATTGCACCGCGCTGAATTACAGATGAATGTTTGGTTGTTGAGAGTCATCTGATCAGATTTTAATGCATTGTTTGTCGTGGAAAATTCCATGAACCACAAAAGCAGTAACCCTTCCTACCTGTACGGATGATTCAAGCTGGCATTTAGTGCACGGAATTCGCTTCGCAATTATGAGCTCTTCAGCCTTCAGCCTGGGTGGCACTTAGAACCTCTAGAACTTGGTTCAAACCTAGTGATCAAGGGACTTTGTCGTCTTTGAGCTCCTTTCCTCTCTCCACGTTATCTTTCCGACTCCGCATCCCAGTAGAACATTTCAGCAAATCAGGGCATGGCCGAGAGAGCACAATACGTAGTGACAGGCTAATGACCAGGACGAGCTCCCTTTTTCTTTTAGTTCAACCATGCTCAGTTCAGCCGATTTCCTCGATTGAAGAGGAGAATCCTTCACCAATCATTTTCTCCTCTTCACCCGTCCTATTGCATCCCGTTGGTCAATATCAGAGCGCGAATTAAGCGATTCGCTAGCGTCTGCGGTCGCGTCGCGGCCAGTGAATCACTCAATTGGCTGGTACCGCAACGCGACCGCGGACGCTAGCGAATCGCGCGATTCGCAAAGTCTGACATCGGCCTTACGGCCTCTGAGACCTTAACATGCACTCCTATGTCCTGGAATAATAAGTATAACCCAAGTTTGCTTTTGTCGAATGGTTTAAATGATTGGCTCATGGTTGAAAAAACATTGAATTTCACAGCGACTCCCTCCATTGCCGTATGGCAGATGCTGCATACGGCCCTTGGTGGATACTTGTAATGGCAGAACTAGGGACTTTCAAGAAATGAAAAGGTAGAGTCAACATTTAAATAAATAAATCTTAAGGTACCTAACAAAATTGTTCCATTATAGACCAGCGATCAGATGCTGGGTCATTAAATCACATGCTCAGCAGCACGAGTCCACGCCGAGTTCGTCACATGGGCCACGTGCCCCACATGACACCTCGCTGTAATTGACGTTTTCGATATTCCTACCATGCAAGACGATAAGCACAAACACCGTGCCATTTCAATGGACGACGACTATGGGAAAAGTTACGTTGTTGATTTACGAAGACCCCTCAACGCTCATTGCTGAACCGTTACAAAAACAGGTATCCACACAGAAAGACCGTATCCCGCCACGTGCACTCGATCATAGCCGTGACAAGTGCGCAGCGCTGCAACATCGTCGCACCGATTAGAATCGCCAATATTATGAGAGAATCGACCCTTCCCCTTTCAAAGAAAACGCGACCGACGGGGTATCAAATTCGCATGACAACCATAACCAAACAATCCATTTTGCGTCGCAAAATGTTATTACTATAGAGATATGGAAGGAATTGAGCTCAGCAATTACCAGAAAAGATCGCCTAGTAAACCTGAAGTTACTTTGATCATGAAAAGTTACAGATAGCTACTCCCTGTACGATGCTTTTCGCTCCTTCTTTGTCACCTGGCATGCCGACTTCCTATCTTTTTTTATGGGAAGCATTCATATGAATCTACAGCGAAACCGCCAGAGAGAGGCAATTTGTCGTATTGGTACGACACGACGGGAAAACCATAGCAGGTTTGTTACACTGCGTGGCTCAAATGGAATTCGAAATGTGAAACTAACTAGCGGCGCTCCTAAACACTCATTCTCATTAGCTAATAGGATTCCTTCATTGAACTTTTATCCTTGACAAAGTATAAGTAATTGCGGTTTCCCTCATGTGGACTGCCGACTATCTCAACTTACAAAGTAACATCGTTGAATCAAAGTTAATCGAAAATCTTGTAAACAAAATCGAAAATTAAAAAAAAATGATTTGTATGGAGAGAAGTATATTGGAAGTCTTCAGGAATAAAAAATCGTTGAGCCGTGCATTGTAAAGCACTCGTACGGCTCGTAAACATGGTGCCGACAATATGGCAACAGAGAAAAATATTATGCCTGTTAATCTGCCATAACACATCTTTGACAAAGAGTATTAAATCATCCGCGCTCAAAACGCGAAAGCTTCAACCAGATGAGCAATTTCAAGAACAATGGACTGAATAGAAAGGGTATCCAGAAGGATGAGCTGAATGTGCAATAAGAAAATTCGTCAGGTAACCAAATGGACTGTAAAACGAAAGCCGAACAGATACTGAAATAATGCAAGGAGAAGCCACCCCCTCCCTCCAGTTGAAATTCTACACGTGGACAGGTTTCAAAATGTTGCAGTGAAACGCTTGATAAGGGTAATGTTCTCCTGAGCAGTGCACTTTTTCCGTGCAAGTGATTCACGCGTGGAATCGCAAACCCTTAACCAAGTGGTGGATTTTCGCCCACAAAATCCTTGTACGAAGTCACCATCCTGTTGGGAAGCTGTGTATTTTTACATCCAGAAAGTCTAATTTGCCCATTAGTGCGATCTCTACTAAAAAGCCTTCTATAATAGCAGCGCCGAATGGAAGTAAAGACCGGAAAATAATTGGGACAAATATGACAAGGCACGACTATTGACTGGAAACAATGACACACAAAAACACCCGTGATTCACATGCATTCCTCGATGAAAGAGATCTGTTGTTCGCATTACATATGAAACTATGGCCATTACGAAGAGCTAGCTATCCCTAGATTAAGCATGAAAACTCAAGTTAAGCAATGTGGGAAGTATGCTCTGTCTGAATTTATGACCTTGAAGAAAATTTCCTAACATAGAAATAATGGTTTAAAATGAACATTAACTTTGAATCGAAGCACCTACTGTTCTTACCAGTTATCACCCACCTCAGAATTTTGACTTGCTAATCCGGGAGAGTCACTAGTTGCATAATCTCCAGAACTTCCATTAGCAGCAGCCGCCTCTTGCTGTCGTTGTTCTTCTTCGTCTTTTTTGCATGACTCCACGTAACTCCTGATTATCCCCGCTCACTTTGTGACAATGATAGCATTAAGAGTAGAAAGCAAATCATTCGAAAAATAATAAAAAGAAGAAAATTCTTACTAAACAATGTTCTAGCTAAAGGGTTGGGTTGGCGATGATCTCTTACTGAGTATCCCACGTCCATCTACCCAGTGAAACAATGACAAACGCCTAGTTCTCGTTGATTTTTCCAGAGTAATCAGACCGACAGCCCTTCAAACGATACCCCTCTTCTCCTTATTTCAGGTCCGCCCGCCCTCATAGTTCATCCTACTTATGGCTAGTTAGTTCTAAGCCACTGACGACCGCCTGAGCTGCCGGCGTCCATACTTTCATGGAGAACTTGCAGGACTTGTTTTGCTCAATTTATGTCATCTTTCGGGTTTCTAAGCAACCTCCATACATAGGCGTAATCGTTACAATGTATCATTACCAATAAGTTTTTGAAAATTTAACGACTACTCATGAATAAATGTGTAAAAAGTTACCGCAGAACATGCATAACGGTGGACGTCAATGGGTTAACAAAAATGTGGGCCTTCTGCACGCAATATCATTTCACTGCAGAAATTTCAACAAAACTGGGGGTCGTATCAACGCAATAAACATTTTTCTCCAAATAATGTGCTTTCCATCCCATCATACGCTACCACATAGGGTATTCCAACACTATTTAAGTTTTCAACGCACGAGTATTATGGGTTGCTCAAGAGAAACACAGAAAACCGCTGAAAAAAAGCTCATGTACTTTGATAGCTCAAACACACAATAGTGGATGGAAGCGCATACGGGCCACCCTCCTAAAGGATTCGTCAGAACGGCAGCCGATATTCGGTGGCTATAAGCAACTGGAAACATCGTAATGGCATCAAATAGCCACAAATGGCGTTGTAATTCTTTTGCAAATGAGTGTGCAATGGTTGGTATCGAATATGCAATCGCGATTGCATGTGTGATCAATACGTATATTACTTTATGAAAAAACGCAAGATCGCAGAGTTGCAGAATAGTAAGTGTTACCCGACCCCAATCAGTAATGTAGCACCGTTTCGTACTTACTTCAGATACCTCTAAATGCACACAGATAAGCGGAGTTTTTGAAGTTCAACAAAACTAACCTTTCCATTTCGTCTGACCACGAAAACACCTCCGGCTCGGGCTGGTGTGAAACGTCCAGCACCAGTTGGAGGTCTACGGCCTTTTTACAAACCTAAAAAAATCAAAGGAAAATTGATGAAAGTTTCTGTTGGACACTAACATGAGTTGACATCATAATGGATTGTGGCGTTCAATAAATCCAACGAAGCTTCAGCTTGAGTTATAATGATACCCTTCAACCAAGCTCAAAAATGCAAAAAACTCAGCATGTCGTAGACTTGAGCACAATTCTCTCACCACCCCTTTGATATTTGTCAAGTGAAATGACAAAAATGTGTGCAAAGTAAATTTTAAAAAGGATGAGAGATAGCTAATCGTGTATATCGCAAATCACGCACCTGTTCTTCTTCTTTGATTTCGTTCACTGCAGAGTTATCTGCTTCTTTTTGATTCAATTGTTGCTCATCGCCTGTTTCGTCAAAGGCTTTAGGAGACCCCTAAATCGGATAAAGTATAAACGAGCTCTGAAAAAAGTGAGATGTCGTTTATCGCTCGCAGAGACTGTATAATTAATCTAGGCTACACATAGAGTCGTGCATACTTTTACCATAATCATCAACTCTAAACAAAGTTCAAGCGCTTCTAGGTGGTGGTAAAGCATTGAAATGAGTGATGCTGCTTTCCATAGCGACAACAACCTCGCATTTTTCATGCTTAGGATGCGCAATGCATTCATCCTGGGACTTTTGATGGCATTTCTTTTCCGTTACATGCAATGTGAATGCTATCCAAGTGGAGCAACGTTTTTCTAGCACATGACACGGTGGCTGAATATCGCATAATCTCGCCTAGACACACCAAGCCTTCCACAACTACGGGGTCGGTGGATTGCTTAACTGTACATCGGCTAACACTACAAATTGTTGTACAGACCAAAGTAGCTCTGTACTATAACGATTCTTAATGGAAGCGAAATGCATGGCGCATCTCGATTGATATTGATCAAATCCGGAGGGCTAATTCTGCTTTTATCCTAACCATAGCGAAGCAAATGTTTCTCCGCGTAATATGCTTTCCGAAAATGTTGGATATAAACATCGCAACTAGATAGAACCGCCACCGGAAAATCACTGCGTTATCAAATAACTTATTTCACGACCGGCAAAAGTTCCTAATTCAACTCCAAATCAATGTTATGCAACTATAAGCAATCTCGCCATGCGCTCTGTCCCCCTGTCAAATCGAAATCTTAACGTTTTCTTCTTCTCTCTCTTAAGCAAAAGACCGCTTCTGAGAATGGTATTCTGTTCAAACAAAAGCAATTATCATCT